TGAGCGTTAGGATAGGAGGCAAAGGCAACTGGCAAATGTTTAAACATTCGTTTCTAAGTGAATATTGATTATTTTATAATCTTGAAATCCATTTATTAAAAGGATCTCTAACAGATTTCACACTTCTTCAAATCAGTGTCAACTTCACCTTTACCCTCCTTTCCTATTACATGTGTTATTCGATTCAAACTTCGCGCCTGTAAAGCTTATGACATACACCGCTACGTGACATGAGCGGGGACCGCAACAGAGGTCTTTCCCTTACGCCACTTTTTTCCCTACTGGAAGCCGAGTTTGCTCGTGGGTGTACACAGGCCGTGGGCAGATCCATAGTATTCAATAGTAATCCGTGTGGTTGAGTGAGGATTTATGTTGTTGTTCAATATATTTAAATATTCATTGATTCTTTATGTAAAAAATGATATTAAGTCGTATCAAACGCTACTTCGTACAAATTAATTTATTTAGCATTCTGATTTTTGAGGATCTAGTAGTGTGTGAAAAATTAAATGCTCAAATTTCACTAACAACAGAAGGAGAAGGATTTCATAGGTTAGATAATAGGGTATATAAGAAGGGATTCTCAATTATCCGATTCATGCATTCATTAACAAAAATACTTAGCAGAAATTTGTAATAATGTGTTTTTACTATTGTTATACTTATTAAATGTAATTATTGAATATTGACTAGCAGTATAAATAAATGGTTATTAATTCTGATTACAATATATCAGAGGTGGGTAAATACGCGATTATTTTATTTTATATGTGACACGTGTCTTAAATGTCTTAAATGTCGTATATCTGGAATGAAAATATCTCTGTAATGTGTTTCTAACCTATAAAACGTTTTTTCGTGTAGGTTATAAAGCAGTGTCAATTTATTAATAATTATAATTTTGATTAAAAACAATTAAATTAAATTCGGTTACATTGATGAAAGCTGAACTGTACTTTGTCGAACTATAAATTATTGACTTTTTCATATCTTCTGGTAGTATTCAACGAGTGGAATCTAAAAATGCAAGTTTTAAGTTTAGGAATCTACCAGTTCAAAAGTTATGCATATGTAAAACCAAGTATTTTTAGTGTACTTTACAGGTATAGTTTAACGCCATATTGGTTTTACATATGCATAACTTTGGAACTGGTGGTGATTCCTAAACTTAAAACTTTCATTTTTAGATTCCACTCGTTGATTAGTACCAGAAGATATAAAAAAAAGTCAGTAATTTTTGGTCCGGTAAAATAAAGTTTAACCTTTTGATGTAATATCCCTCTTAGCAAAAAACAGATTGACGAGGTGCTAACAACTGTCCGCGCTCACCGTGAGTGTGACTCTGCGGAACCGAGGCATTTACACTTATCGAGACATTACTGTATAATGTTGAGTATGACTCTTGTTGACGATTTGAAAATCGATTCAACAACGAAGAATATTATTCGTTTTCTTTGAGTCGAAGTGAAATGCCACGTTGCTGGCATTAATATTTAACTTTTACAGTAAAAATACAGTTGCGATAAGTACAGAATTCCTTTCGTTTCTGGGAAACTATCGCCAACAATGTATGTAATCTTGAAATCTGCAGACGTCAAGAAAATTATAAGGCAAGGGGTTACTTCCGATATATTCTTATTAATCTGATCACAAACATTTTAATTTACTTGATTGAAAAATTTTCATTTTTTTTTATTAGAGATTTTTATGTGGTTCTAATCTCTTCACAGCTGTATTTCCAATACCATGGTTGCACACTGTGCAAAACGTTACATTTTCGCCTTTGTCATTCTTTCTCCTAATGAATCCCAAAGGTTCATATTGATTATGTTTTTTTCAACCACCCGTTTTTTTGGCAATCACAAATAATTTACCTATATAATAAAAGTTAATTTGAGGTTATATTTCGTGTTTAATATTACATTTTTAACATTACGTACAAAAAGGAGGTTGTATTTGTTTTACTTATTTTTAAAAAGATTTTCTATTTTCATTGTTTAAACGTTGAAATAATTAATATTTCTATTTACGACATTTGCGTCAAATGACACGTATAAAGTGGACTCAAAAACGACATATGTATGTATTATTATTATACGTACATGTACGACATGGTGCAAAATACGTACTCACCTCTGGAATATGTACAATGCTCTGAACAGTTTATATTAAAATTATTCATGTAAATTATAGTATTTTCATTACTTTGACATCTTTTTAGTATTTTATATTTTAATATGTTGTAAAACACTCAATGATACAAAATTATCTATTAAGTAATTGATTAGTTTCAGTACTATATAAAATTTATATATAGGCAGTATTTTCTGATTACAGACAATAGTTTGTTATTGAAAAAATAATGTGTTCAAACAATAGACCTTTTCATAATGGTATATATTCTTTATTTACATATTTGTACACCTTATGAAAAATTTATTTGTAGATCCTTGATATATCATATAAACTTTGATGCTTCAATCAGTGACTGTTACATTGCATTACATTTACAATTACCATCTGCCTTGTATGTTAGTGTTGCTGAATTAAGTGATATAAGAAGATTAGGAATTGTAAGTAACTTATCATTTTAATGGATTTTAAGTTCTGCATTCAAATATTTGGTAAATACTTAGAAAGCTGTCAACATCTTGGATTTCAATAATTTTTTAATATGTTGTAGGAATCAACATTTTGAACAACTTTTTCCTTTGCATGTTATTACTGCTTGGCTTTAATTTTCAAGATATTCACAAAAAAACTATTGGTACCACTACTTGTGCAGTGGGATGTTAGGTGCGTGATTAACACTAGGTGGTGACTTGGTTAACGCATCTGTTCATTGCATTTCGTTTTTACTTACTGCTAGCACGAATACACAGGCAAACGTTTCTTGTTAATAACTTTTTAACTAATAACGACCAATGGGTAAAACCTTCTGAAAGTTACTAAGGTGGGTGATAGAGATGGCGTAAACTGCTACTTGTGAATCACTCGTGATTCGATCACGTTCGTTCCCAATCACGGTGATTTTTCACAGTGATTCGTGATTTCTCGTGATCGTTTCTGATTGGTGGGAGAAACCTAACAGATTTTTACATGCGACACATAATCTGTATATTTTATATTAACGACATTATAACAAAAATTCGAGTTATATCGTACAAAGTGAAGGAATAATTCGAAACAATGAAGAATAATGAATAAATTAATGATTATAAATTATAATCTAGATGTTACCTAGCAAATCATTCTTTTAGAATTTCTTGTTTTTTCTACTGATTTTTACAAACACAAATAGTAATGTAATTCATCGGAAAATCATATTGAATACGTTTTTCTGTTTAAACATCAAGGACTTACGATCGCAGTGAGCAAATTCACGGAAGATAAAAAAATCGCAATCACGGTCGTAAATGAAGTTAAATCACGACCGTGATCGTGATTCGGCGATCACTGTGATAAATCAACGTTAGTGATTTTGCACGACATCTCTAGTGGGTGACCTTAACAACACATGACATGGTCTAGGTCTTTGTTAAATATCTTGGAAACTCAAGCTACACAGCAATAACATGCAAAAGAAAAAGTTGTTCAAAATGTTGATTTCTAAAACATATTCAAAAATCATCGAAATCCAAGATGCCTGTAACTTTCTAAATAATAACCACACATTTTTTTGAATGATGCTGATTAAAGTATAAAGTTTTGATTCTTTCAATGTAAATAGCAATATTTATTACATTTTAGAATATCATCTGTTCCATAGGGGAATCTAATATTGAGCTATTTATGGAGAAAGCAGAACTCCAAAATGTAACTATTTGTTCTCCTTTGTGTACTACAGAGTCTGTTTTCAAATTTCCTATTCACCAGCGTTATCAGTATGCTAATGAAACTAGTAGATATATGAGTATCAATATACCAAAACCAAATATACTTTTGGGTTGTACAAAAAGAATTAAGGAATATAGGACTTCTATAATTGACGTATGTTCTCCCTGTGTAAACTTTGTTAATAAATGGAGAGAGATTCCATATACCATGGTAAATAATAAATCCTGTTGTATAGAAATTTTTTTTATAGGTCTTATTTGATAGATTGTATTCTTTAGACATTTTTTTTCAGGATACAGAAAATGTTGTATGGATGGTACCAATTGGTAACTTATCTGTATTAACCATAGTAACCTCTACCACATTACTGTTAACAGTTTTGTGTACAATGTTTCTTATGCAAACAATCTGTAAACATGTGCTTATAACACATAAGAAGGAAGAATAGTTAGTCAGTTAGTCAGTTAGTTTATTAATTAGTTAAAAAAGTTGCAGCTTCTAGGTCAAGGAACCGACTTGGTTTATAAATACAAGTAACCTTAACACTAAACGTACCGAACCCTTCAGAGAGATAGGAATTAAAATGGCACAATATGTCATTTGACCGGTCGTGGTAGGTTTAGTGTTAATTATCACTCATTCTCCCACTCTTAATTATATTTACACTTTTACACCTTCTCCTTATTCTTTATTTTACTTAATTTATTCTCTACTACCCTTAACCATTTTACTAGCTTCTTTTTTCACTTCCTCTTAACATTTCTTCACTTGTGCAGTTTCTTCTTTATAATTCATAACAATCAAGGAGGATGAATAGTATACCTGAAGTGTAATCAATGCCATCATTAATGGAGACATTAGAAAACTAACAATTAAATTACAAATGATTATGCAAATTCACGTTTTTATGTACAAATTTATAATAAAGAAAATAAAATAAAAATTAATTTTGCCTATTCAAAATTTTATTATGTTAAACGTCTGTTTTTATGTTATGTAGGTTGCATATCTGGCATATAATATTCTATAGTGTCGAAGCGTTTCAAATAACTCGCACGTTATTAACTCGGCCATGATGCTGGTCGATCCATCCAGGCGTTTGTTTATCTTTTCATCGTACAGGTGCGCTTCTTTCTGCCTCGTATATTCTTATTGTTCGAAAAATTCAATATGATGGATATTAAATACTCTCGCAAAACACAAATATATAATAATGTGGGAAAATGGCACTTGCCTGAAATAGTTATCAAATCCTTTGTAGTTATTTCAAACTTTAAGCATTACCAGAACAACTGTTGCAGCTTTTGATGTAATTTTATTGAAAACAAAATTAAGTTTGAAATTCATCAATTAATTTCTTCTTCAGTAAATAATGTTACACGTTACAAAACATGTATTTCCGTCCTATTGTTACATTCGTGTTACACTTAGTTAACATCCATAATTTCTTTATTCCATTAAAAAATTCGAGTAAGCTATTTTCACATTATTAAATTCTGAGAAAAAAACTAGAAATGGTTTGTAGAAAAAGCAATACACATACATTAGTAAAAATTAGTCTATTGTAAACAGTACATCTTAAAAACAATTCAGTATTTCTTTTTGGTTAACAAATAAAGATTAACGAATCATAAGCGGTGCCCAGGACATCCTTTTTGAAAACGTTTTGCGGTAACCATTGTAGCTCGGACAGAATCATATCAAATCAATACCTTGACAAATTTTAGACAGTATTTGAAAACTTATTTTCAGACAAAATTAGGCCGATACAAATTTGAAACCGAACTAAAGATTCGTGTATCAATAATACTGGTATATACAAGTCTTCGTATTCACTAATGCACGACACAAAGGATCTCTCAAAAGAGATTATCGACTGTTCCGTAGCTGTTGCAGTCATACATGCTTCGAGTGCTACTTCGAGAAATGTAGTTGCCTATACATGCCTATAATTTTGTTAATTTTCCTCGGATTACCTTGAAGTTTTCAAAGAATACTTTCAAGATGTCGTACTTCAAGAAAATACCAAAATCTAAAAATCTAAATATTTTTGGAAAACTTCTAGGCAGGCGTTCCTTCTTAATATCATGGTCGTACTATAAGTTCTTTTCTACTTCCGATCCTTCAATACTTTTTGCTTTCTTTATATGTCTGTTTTTTTCTGGTATGTCTGTTACGGATTTCAAAACAGTGTCTTTAGTTTTTATAATGGGATCATTCCACTTCTGAATCTTGCTTGTGCCAAATAAAACGAACATAAGATTTCCGAGTATGTATATTACAGCTGACAAGAAGAATATATTCTTCCACTGCAACACATTCGCCTAAAAAATATAAAAATATTAGTAATAAAAAGAATTAGAAATCAATATTTTCAGTATTACAGTTTTAAAGTACATCACAATAAGATTCGAATTCCTGCGGAGATATCAGGTTCAGTATCTCGCTTTCTAATAGGGATGCTTTATTTTGCAGCTACAGTAAGTGTGGAAAGTATTCGTACAGCGATTAATTTCGAACAAATTTCATACAATTACGATTTATTAACTAATTTTTGTAAAATAATTGTATGTGTAAAAATAATTCAAAAAACGACAGAAATAGACGAGCAATAAGTATTCGTACACTAACTGTATGATAAATCTACCTTAATATTTTCATTAAGTATTTTATATTAATTTGTAAAAGATTTATGTGAATAGAGAGAATCGCTCTGGTACTTGGGGGTTCTGTTGGACAACAGGCTTCGCTTCCGAGACCACCTAACGTGCATCAGCGAAAAGGCGGCAAGGGCAATGATGGCGTTATCGCGTCTAATGCCGAACATCGGTGCGCCCAAACTGGACAGAAGAGACTTACTCGCGAGCGTGGTAACCTCGATCCTGTTGTACCCAGTACCTATCTGGGTCGAAGCGTTGAGCACGGCCGCATGAAAACGATCATTGTGGTACATCGAAGAAGTGCTTTGAGGGTGGCTCACGCCTTTCGCAACGTGTCTTACGACGCAGTGCGTGTGGTAGTTGGCAAGATGCCCCTAAAAATTTTGGCGGAAGTACGACGCAGAATTTTTCGTAGGAGAAGAAGGCAAGACTACGGCATAGCTACGGCATAACGGTGTTGGCAAAGCTATTGGGATTCATCCCTAGCAGGGAGATAGACCCACTTTCTGATCCTCCTGCTGACTCACCCAGATGTTGTTGGGACACGGTTGCTTCAAGGTATACCAATACCGTTTCAGATCGCACGACAGTTCTGCATGTCCAGTATGTCACGAAATGGAGGAAAATGCATAGCACGTTTTCTTTGTTTGCCATCGTTTTGACAACGAAAGGAACGGTGCTGCAAGGAAGACTTGGAAAACCATCACTCTGCTGCGCATCATCTCGCTCATGCTGGACACCAAATAAGCATTGAACGCGGTCCATGAGTATGTGGTAATCGTTCTCAAACGACTACGATTTGAAGAAAGGTGTAGGAAAGGAAGCGCGGGCTAGCCTAGCGCGGAAAAACGAAGCTGCGGTAATAGCACCCTGCCTGCAATATAATGCCTGACAGTGGTTCCGCCGGAGACACAGGAAAAAAGACGTGCCAAGGGAGGCGGTTTTTAGTGGGTGAAAACCCCACAATCCACAGCAAGGGCTCGTGGAGTCTGGTAGATTTTCCGTCTACCCTCGCAAAAGAACACACACACGCACCCACACACATCATCAGTGTTTATACGTCATTATCTCAGTAAGATAAAAGCAAAAATGAAATTTAGTAATTGTGAAAAAGTGGATATGATTTTAGTTTATGGTGAGTGCCGTAAAAATGGAACAAGAGGTATGTATGCCGAAATTTATCCTGAACGAAATCAACCATGTTGATTGATTTTTCGAAAGACTTTGTACATCGCTTCGCAAAAGCGGAAGTTTTAATGTTACCAACCGTAACGTAACCAAAACTGCTACTTTTGAAGAAAATAATATTGCGGTCCTAGCAGCGGTAACAGAAAATCCTCATATCAGTACACGACAGATTTCACGGGGTTTTGGTATTAGCAAAACAAGTGTGCGTCGAATTCTTCATAATGAAAAATATCATCCATATCACCTAGTACTTCATCAGGAGTTGCACGTATTGGATTATGATAACCGCGTTCGATTTTGCCAATGGTTCTTGCATCAAATGCACAATGATGATCTTTTTTTTACAAAAAGGGTTATTTAGCGATGAAGCGATATTTACTAATCGCGGGAAAATTAATTTGAGGAACATGCACTTCTGGGCATTAGAAAATCCTCACTGGATCAGAGAAGTTGACCATAAACGTCAATGGGACGTTAATGTGTGGTGTGGCAATCAATTAATTGGACCATATTTTATTACTGAACGATTAACGGGACAAAAATATTCGAAATTTGTATGTGATATTTTACCAACTTTATTAGAAAATTTACCATTAAATATCCGCACAGACATCTGGTACCAACCTGATGGTTGCCCCACACATTATACACATGTAGCGAGACAAGTGCTGAACAGGCAATTCTCCAATCGATGGATCGGTTGTGGAGAATTTCTGTGGCCACCACGTTCACCAAATCTAACGCCGCTAGACTACTTTCTATGGGCTACATTAAAAGATATGGTGTATCGTGAACCAACAACAACACCAGAGAATATGAAGCAACGAATTCATGAAGTATGCAGTATGCTTGCTGCAGAAATAATTCAGAGTGCAGTTTCCTTGTTGATTAATAGATTACATCAGTGTATTAATGACACCATTTCGAACATCTACGTTAATGAATGGAAGAAGTCTTACGGAAATCTTTGCTGGTATTGAATCTCCAACTTGATATTACGCACAGACCATTTTGAAGAAGCAAAGTAAAATTATTCGTTAATTATTAGGTTTTTGGCTAATAAAGGTCAGTACTTTTTTACTCAAAATTTAACGCTCTACGATAGTTTGGCATACAAAATACAGCATTCCATTTAAAAAAAACGAAGTTGACCTTCAAATCTCCGGAACGCCTCCACTTACAAAAAAAATACAACTTTTATATAAAAAATTTTTTCATGCAATGCATACTTTAGAAGTTATTCAGGGTGAAGAACTTGCGCGGACCCCCCTGTATAATCCTGATCTGAACTTTACAAAAGAGTAATTTTATGTACAAATTTTTCAAATTAAAATAACCTTGACCTTCTTCAAATAATCACTCACTGCAAAGCCTGCATAGGACTAAACAATTGCCTCATATATTACTGAACAATTCAATTCGTTTTGTTTGCTATTTAATTTCGTACCGTTTATACGCGTAGCGTCTCTGAGCGAAGAACATTCGAAACTACTGCCGACTACACGCAACCACCGCTTCGCGGCGTAAAGCCGCGTCCCCATTGAGGCGGCATTTGTCGTACGGTATGGCGTTGCGGCGGCATTTGCCAGACGACTGGGATTCTCAGATTGGCTTATCCATCCGCCGATGCAAATACTATGTATGTAATTCATAGTCGGTTTATCGAATTGTATTTGGGTTTTCGTTATTCGTACACGAAAGAATAATAACCATATCCATTTTAAAAAAGTCTAATTATATTATATTATATCCATATTTATATTATCACAACTAGTGCATACAATTCGAAGGCAGCAAAGTACAAACGAAAAAAGTGTTATTATGCCGACTTTCACTTTTTTACATAAATAGACTCTACATATTATTTAGAATATTATTTATAATCTGTTCATATCAAACAAAAACGAATCACCTGAATATGATAAATATTTGCAAGATATAAATTCATAAATACAATCCATTTTGACGAAAATGGGCAAAATTTGCAAAATTGAAAGGCCTGTATTTCTTAAATGAATTCAAAACTTGAAAAATGATGACTCAAACTCCACTCCCAATTCCACGTGGACTAGATACGTCATTTTGAACAAAATCCCAGACATCGAGAGAAAACAGTGATCGACTTGACGTGGAATGTCCCTTCTATATTGTCCAACACGCATCCTCATTGCTGGTTCGGCACGAATTCTTTTTATGTTTACCGACATGATTCGGGAAATGAATCGGCATGCCTTTCGGCATTTTAAGAGTCCTTGCGAGACCATTTCCGTGACTTCTCATGAGTTCAAATTCACGCACGTGTCTACATATCGGGCGGCTGTGCCGTCTGGCAAATTCCGCCGCAATGGGGAGATGGGGACGCATCTTTCAGCAATGTCGAGCGGCTTTGCCGTCTGGCAAATGCCAAAGTAGTGGGGACGCGGCTTAACACCACCATGATCACTAATCCCATCTATGCGTAAACATATAAATGCGGGTTTTTTAAAACCTTTTCCTGTACCTTTCATACAATAAAGTAGCAGCAAAAACTAAAGACCTCCTCAAGCAATAACACTGTTAAACTTCAACCTTTGTTTTACCTCACAACCGTTCACAAGCACTTCTGATAGATCTTAAAAGGGCTGAATATTAATCTGCAAAGCGTTTCGTCCCTCACGTCCAGTTTTTGAAAAAATCAATTTCTTTTAAAACTGCACATTCTCAAACTCGAAGGTGTGTTGTGCTTTTACAGTAATAGTCACTCAACTGCTTTTGATACAAAATAATTGGCCATATATGCTGGGAAGAAACGGGTTCGATATTCAGCTCGTAAAGATCTATCAGACACGCTTCTGAATGGTTATGAAATATTTTATGTGTTAAACAGTGTTATTAACCTTACCCTTTCATATAACATGCAGGTTATAAGGCGACCGTCTATTAATTATTGAATTGAGCTATGTTATCATAATTCTTATATTCACTTTAAGGCGGGTTGCGGTTCGATTTGTTCCAATATTAATAGTTTCGAAAAGTATGCAAATATTACAGGTTACTGGATGTAACTGTTTCAATTAGTTTTGACAGCAGTGATCATCGATGACTCCGACGCGACGGCATTCAACGTGTTAGCCAGTTGCCAATATTTTTCTAGAGGAAATGAGTACAAAAAATTCAATGTTACTATTCTCGTTATTTTTTCTCAAGCGGATACACGTCAGTGAACATACATATGTCGCATGATTACTACCTAAAAGACAGACAGTTACTTGAAAAACTAAATGAGAAGGGAAACAAAGGTAGAATAATTATTTGAAATAAGTATACATACCGAATCCTTAACAACGATGCTTGCAACCAAAGGAGCTAAAATACTGCAAATATTTGCAGCCGTGTTGGTAATCCCCATCAAAGTACCAGCAAAGTTTGGACTAAGATCCATGTGGTTTACGTTGTGACCGCAGTAACTGGCAATATTACTAGCAACAGCAACTACCAAAAGTGTTACTGCAATTTCAGGATGTCCTTTATCAACATATCCAAGTGCGATTAGAGCTATTGCTGGGATCCATTGGCCGATTGAATTGCAAACTTTTCTCGAAGTTTCAACCGTAAAAATATTCTTTGTGATAAGAAGATCTGAGAAATAGCTAGTCGGAAAACTAAGAATCCATGCCGTCAAGTATGGTAATGACGTCAGCATACCGTTCTGAAAAATTTATGTAATATATAGACGCATAATTAAATAAGCACGCAATCTGCCACAACATAAAATAAATTGTTATTTAGGGAGCTATTGAGAACAACGAGAAAATCTTTTTTTATGTTTCATGAATGTATCATAACGGTTCGTGCCGGCACGTGGCGCGAAGGCCATCTAGGCTCCCGCCTCTCCTTTTCATCAACGTAATTGTCATTTTCTGTGGTCTTCAAACTTTCGCGTTTGGTCGGTAAACGCGAACATTCTGTCGGTCATCGCGCAAAATCACACCAGAAACGCCGGTCTTACAACCCATGCGTTCGCAATCAAAACCCTTTTCCGTCTTTCATCGCGCGTCCCCATCGAGACGGTCCCGGTATCCTGTTTCGGTCCTGAGGCGATCCTCAGCGGTATCGAAAGAAACAATGATTTTTATATACAATAAAAAGAATTGAAGACTTTCATCCATCTAGAGCAGACTTATCCCGTGGATAGCTCTGCTCTATGTTCTAGACCAGGCCTGTCCAACTTGTGGCCCGCGGGCCAAAATCAATAATCGCCCCTACCGGCTTGCTCTTTCAGCCGAGGGGAATGACCCCCCTCCATATCCACAAGAAGCCCGACGTATAGAGGCAAGAAAGTCCCCACTTCGGACGCTCCAGAAATTCCTACCCGCACGTACCTCTTGCCCCACGATCGTATCGCAGCGCAAGCGAGTAGTGGGGAATGGACTGAGTGATGGTGGGGACCGCGTCGTCTGGCGAAATGACTCGCGGGCCACATGTTGGACAGGCCTGTTCTAGACAATTAAAATTACTGTACTTACTTGTTTAATATCAAAGCCCAAGACAGATGCCATGTATGAAGGAATTTTCGTCAAAAGCATCCAAAAGCCCCAATTTTGGGCAGACTGTGTAATCAGTAGTGCCCACATTGGAAGGCTAGTAAACATTGCACGCCATGGAATTGGTAGTGTCTATAAAAATATTTTTTTTTTAATTCTACTCTGTGAATGTGACATGTGTTACGTGTGGTGAATAATTTCATTTTCAATCGCATTCTATCACGCGCCTGGCAACGGAAAACGTCCTAAAACTCCGTCTGTTTATTCCTTAAGTAATATGGGAACGTAATCTCGACCAACTGGAAAAAATTTCTTTATAAAGAAATTCTCATGAAACCCCACCCAGTTTTGGGACTATATAAACCCTCTGATTTTAACCCTCGGGGGCCAGAATAGCATCGGTTCGTCCGTGTCCCTAAGCGGCTTCCGGTGGTGAAATAAACACCGGTTTGTTCGCGACTTTTAGTCGTTCCAGCGGCTCCCAATGATGAAATAAGCATTGGTTCATCCGCTCCTAACACACTACCTTACCTCGGCTATAGCGAAAGCTGCCTTTAGCCCTCGACTCGTAACGACAAAATGCAATCTTTTTTGTTATATGCACAATCGCTATAATTTTTCAATTGAATATGGCCAACGCACTTTTTATAAATGTTTTTGACATTTTTTTGTTACCTTCAGCATTCTTTTCTATCATGCCGAAGACAATTCAATTTTTGGTATATTGATATTATGGTGGTGTTATAGTTGATGAAGGTTAACATTATGTTAAATAATATTGATAGTACATACCTCTTCAGTTTCAGTTATCCCCAGACTAGTTTCAATATATTCTTTCTCATCTTGAGGTATACTTGGATGTCTCGCTGGTGATTCTTTCCCAATTAAGAGGAATAGTACCCCACAAATAATAGTTATTCCGCCCCAGAAGTAAAAGCAGCTGGGCCATCCTAAAGCGGAAACTGAGAGTAGGCCCGAACTCAGCAGACAGATCACATTTCCAATCCATCCACCAGCGTAAACAAAAGTCGCTGAAATATATATCATATGTAAATATGATGCAAAATATAGAAAATTGCTAATGTATAATACTTCACTCATCTAAAGTGAATTCAATAATAATTAAACACTCAAGATTCTTTGTATGTCTATTTTTTGTTCAAGCATTTCGACTTTCTGTAGACACAATTGGATTTCCGAAATATTATCCCGTGCCGTATCCTTCGTTTGTTACTTACAAGGGGAACTTACGGGTTGGCTAATCGCTTTTGGAATGACACTATATGTATACAAGTTGTAGTACACATACAGTGTTACAAAACCCTCATTGGTGTCCATATAATGGGCCTTCGTTTTCGAGATATCCTGGTTTATACATTTTGTACGCATCTAATGATTCATTTACGTAAAGAATGTCATAATGGAGGAGCATGGGTCAGGTGGTAGAGTAACCGACTACGTTTTCCCCATGATACAAGTCATGGTTTTGACTCAGACTGATTAGTTGATGAGTAATCATATATTATAAAAATAATTGTAATACCATTTAAGCAAAATATTGCAATATTGTTTTCCTAAGAGCGAAATACTTAAAATTGTCTGGTTGTTTTTATTTTTAAGTTTTTTTGGTAGCAAAGATCCTGTATGACTGCACAAACTGTTAACTAATAAACTTTAAAAAAAAAAGTAACACACTACGACGTTGCGGGTCCCGAGTTTGAATCCGCTGTAGGGTGAAAGAAACTTTTTTTCACTTTAAACACGTATTTGCAGTGCAAATAATTTTTATTATCTTGCATTAAGTATTTTTCACAAAAATTTGTTTCACAAAATTATTTTCTAATAAATATGTACAATATTGTAGTTTTTTTAATAAAAATGTTGATTTGACGATAAAAATATTCGTCGCAGGGCTGCATCAACGTGGTACACTTGGACGATCTTACTGCAAGCTTGCACGTTTTATGTGAGTAAGTCCTTGAAACGACTTTCGTCTTTGGTTGTCAATACGCTTTGATCCCTCGTACGAATAACATTAGAAAACAGTATTTCGAAGTACTGAAGTGGATTGTGATCCGATACCTTCTAATGTTACTTGAACAGTCAATCAATGCGTACTGACAACCAGTCAAAAGTGGTTTGAAGGACTTACTCACATAACAACATATATATTATGTATTTTTCAAAAATTTTAGCAAAAGTATTCAGAGTTGACATAGGTCTATAGTTTTTAATCTGGTTTTCATCGCTTGATGTGTGCATTGGCGTAATTAAACTCGTTTTTCATTTGGTAGGAGCTGGAGGTCACAGATTCATGACCCTACCCCAACAATGGCACCCGTAGTCTTATTATATCTGTAGTCACTGGTATGTATTTAAAAAAAGAAACAAAAAGAGGAAGAAAAAGGTTAGAACAGAATGCAGCAGCCAATAGTCGAACCAGCGATCTAGCGGTCCGCAGGCTATATATTCAATTCCAATTTTCAGCGTTTATTTACTCACCTAATAACGTACAAAAATATATACATATAATATCAAGTTTGCAAATATTATTTTTCTAATAAAGTGTACAGTCTTTTGTAGTTTCTACCTCCTAGAAGTTTACTTACATTTTTAAACTAAAAATATTGATCTCTGTAGTATTGCATATACAGCCCGACACCGGTATTGTGATGTGCCGTGTTCAAGTCGCCCCGAGCCAATGAACATCCCGACTCGGCTCGATCGTTTGAGTGAGCTGGAATGACAGCTTTATGAGGTGTCCGCGGAGACTCGAAGCTCTGCCCCCCCCCCCTCGGCGAGTAGAGATGTTATCTGATACCCTATAAACCGCCGGCAACCGACTCTCGGGCTACAGTGTAAACAAGTAAAATAAATCATGTATGAATAAACATTTAAATTTTCACTCCTTTCAGTGTACTTTCTTAAAGATGTTATGAATAAATGTAGGAAATTCTCTTGATGAAAACAAGTCCAAACCCGATATAAATCAGACTATATTTAATAACATACAATTCGTACCGCGACATAACGTATAACGTAAAAATTGTTTTCGCTACATTTCTCTGTTCAGAGACTCGCAAAATTGTGAAAAAATCTCATACATTGCAAATGCCGGGGCACCTATTACAGAATTGTCTCGCCGTTTACACGTCGAAATATATACACACTACATCTAAAAATTATGTACACATTACACTTGGTATTTTTATTTATTCTTATACATTACATTCAGTAACCTAACCTGATATTTGTATTAACTCAGTACCAGGTTTACAGTAGAGCAAATAATATTTCACTTGTTGACATTTTTCATTTTGGAGCAGTGTAAAGTGTAAACTATCTAGGGCGGACTGAACAAGTTAGGTTACAGAATATAATAGATAAAAATAAATAAAAATATCGAGTAATATGCTTTCTGAATTTTTCGTGAACTCCCCTACAATCTCATGAAAAGAAAGCATACGGTCCTATTTATGTTAACTAAGGTCACCTTGGTTCCGCTATCTAAATAAAGTATTTTCCGAATATTTTTATCGTCATTTGTAGAGCACTTAATACCATTAAAATACGGTTCAAAACACTTTTTGTTGGATGGCTGCAAATGGCCGAAAAATAATAAGTCGCATTAGGCGGATCACCCTGTAGAAAAGATTGAAAAATTCAAAACATTATTAACGAATACTTCTGGATACTTTATTTAACGGTGGTTAAAATAGAACATCGCATTGCATAATTACATAAACAAATAATTACGTATACAATTAAATGTAAGATGCTTGCGGCCACTTTTCACAAGATATCACCAGCAACAAAATAATTTAGTTCCAAGGAATAAATGGAATATCACATCAGATCTCGATTCTCAGTTGGTTCAAACATCTAATACTATAAAAGCATAGTACAACAATGCACGAATGGCACCAAGATCAATACTTAAAAGTAGTTTATCATTATCGAATGCTTGCAAGTTAGAATACTGCAAGAATACTAAGAGTTTTTATGCAAATGATGAGATGTAAATAAAATAAACAATCACTTTTACTTCAACAAAACAGTGATCAATTATCCCACCTTTCCCTTATTGTTGCGAATCGAAGTACATAAGTAGTACTGAAAATAGTCTGAATTATGTTGTGTTTGGACCTATTTTCATGAGGAAAACAAATCTCCTCAATGAATTCATAACATTTTTGATAATGTTCATTCAAAAGAGTAAAAATTTAAATTTTTATACATGCGTGATCCATTCTGTGTGTTTACTGTAACCCGGGCGACGGAGGCTTGTACGGGTATCAGATAACATCTCGACTTGCCGAGGCCCGGAGATCCTGCCTATGATGGTGACTCGCTGGCAGCGTTGATTAAGCTGGCACGGTGATTCCAGCTGGCTTCGAGCCGGCTCGATTACCCATCACTAGCCATGCACTGAGCTGTCCACAACTAAAAAACTCGTAAAATCCCACATTTGTCTTTGGCTTTCTAGTCGCTCAGTCCTGACACGCAAAACACTACACTAGCACTAACCCTTTGCACTCGATTGCCCTCTTGGACGAAACACTTCTTCGGACGTTGTTCTTACCCCTTCAATATGAACATTTACTGTTAAATAAAATATGTGTTTAATATTTTACGGCATTTTGTCTGCGCACTGAATTTCAGCTCAATCAGCGGTCAACATTTCGAGATAGCCCCTTGTAATTTAAATTAATTTAATTTTAATTTTATTGTACCTTCAATACCTGAACACAATTAGAATATACAAACGTATTGTGTATGCAGAAAAAGTATTATTTCATTGATTGATAAATTAATACCTGAACTTACTTATTTATTTGTATGGTTAGAAATTCTGTCATATTAATTCTAAATTGCTGGAAACAATTTTAATAAGTACTTACACATTCTCCCCCTTTCTTCTAGGGGTGCCCACTTAGAAAGTAATGTATGAAGACACGGAAGTACAGTGCCTTGACAAAGCCCTGCGATAACTCTTGAAGTACACACAGCTCCCCAACCACCATAAGTGGCTGCTACGGGAACGAAAAGGGTAACCACGCCGCAGACAAACAGAGCGAGCGAAAATAGTTTATGAGCCCCCCAATGTTGTGCTATTATGCTCCCAATAATTTGTGTGCACACGTAACCCCAGAAGAAGGAGCTCAGAATTACGTCCTTAATTGAATTATCCCATGGGAATTCCTGTAACACATAAAACAAATAATTAATTAATTTAATTACTTACGTTGGCCTTACTCGTTCAATTACACTTGTAACAAATGTTATACAGGGTGAGTCATTTAACCCTTTCATTATCACTGTTGCCATATGGCTACGTATTTTAAATTACGAAATAACATAACGCTATCGTATATTTTTTCATATCTGTCTTTGATATAGCAACCTAGGATGATTTCAATGATTTTTAAATATGTTGTCTGGGGCATGATTCTGAACAACTTCTTCCTTAGATACAATCGACGGACGGCCCTAGTTTCTGTGGTAATCGGAAGAAACTGTCGGTACCACTACAGTGAATTCTGCCTATAATTGTGCGTTCTTAACAGCGTACACATACTACAGGCTTGATTGTATCATATGATTTATGTTTTTATTTATTTAAAGTCACATCAACTTTGCGGTTATTAGCGACTACAGTGTCTGAATACATAATACTTAGCACGTAATACAATACATAGTACATGGTAATTTAATCATTGTACACATACATAAGTATCGGTTGCAGTGACTACTTACTTGGTCGGATAATCTCAATTTGCAGCTTTATATTCTATCGTACATATTAATGTCTTTAAAAAAGCACAGGGGGTTTTACATAATTTTCGGTTATTAAGAATTAAATGAAACCCTGGTGGAAGATTACCTGGTGGTTCTTTTATATAAGACATTTCTGCAGTTGCAGTGGTTGCATTTTTTAGCTCTTTTCTGGTTAGTAAGTATATGTGAGTAAGGTTGGTATTTATTCAATTCTCAGTTTCGTGAGAATCATCTGATCTTTTCTGTTGAACAGGAGTGCTGGACTTTTTTCTGATAGGTTCTTCCGTATTTTATGTATGTTGGATGTGGGCATACTTTTCCAATGATCGTTTTCCATAGATATCAATCTCTGTTTAAGATAAGTTTGGAAAACTTTGTGGAAAACTGGTATTTGTTGGTTATTTTGTTGGATCCTTATTGGCTGTATGTTAGAGTTCCGGACATTTGGATTGGTGTAGTTTAAAATATAATGTGTTTGGATTTTACTTTTAGTTTATGTGCTTCATCGATAATTTGTTGTACTAGTGAGTGTTGTTCCTTTTAGATGTTTTGGGGGTGCAATCGTTGGCTGCTTCAAGGACTAGATTTTCAAATTTGTTGAGATGGCTGTCAATTTTATGTGGATTGATGTTTTGTGAATACCGCGTGTCAGTAATTTTGTAGTATTTGGTATTTTTAAATGTAGTCCAATCTGCCCTTTTAAATTTTCATCTTGGTTTAAAGATGGTTTCTTCAATCATGCTAATTCTATAAACAACAAGTTTTTCCTTAGCAAAAATGTTATTGGAGGCTTTGTTAACAAGATATTAGCGAAAAACCCCGACCAATCAGAGCGTCAGTCTGTCAGCTGAGTTCCCACGATAATGTTGGCTACCAATCACAGCCCGTAACCAACGTTACCTTGGCAATTCGGCCGGCAAACTCGCGCTCTGATTGATCGGGGCTTTTCGTTAATATCTCGTTAACAATGCCTCGGAAAACATTTTCGCTAAAGAAAAACTTCAAATCACCCCACGAGTCTCCCATTTCCGGGTTCTCCAACATTTTTGTTAGAGCCTGTATCTACAAACGCGAGGGGGACACCATCGAACACGGACCAAAATGCTTTTCTCATAATTATATAATTTTCTGTAAAAAAATGAAAAAAAAATTGGTCACAGTATGTTCAAACTCCATTGATTTTCCATGGAATGACCCAATTTTAGAGTGTTCGCGAATTAAAAAAATGATATTTAAAAAATAATAGTCACGGAATACGAACATATTGTTTTCAAATTTTTCAGACTTCAGCCAGGAGTTAAATTTAAAAAAGGGGATATTTTAATATTTTTACACTGCAAAAATAACTTTACGTATAAAACAGAAAAGTAGTTGAAAACGATGATCCTTTACAATTGAAATGAAATAAAAATGAAGTTCGTATCTTCAATGATTGCAGGGATAAATGTTCTTTTGTGAAGCCTGTTTCCGTCAAAATCGGTGAAAATTGTCATATTTTTAGGTCTGGAAATTTTTAACAATTTCGAAACCAGTAAAATGATGACTCCTCCCCCCCTCCATTTTCATATGGGCTATAACATATTTCAATTTAAGGAAAATCCTAGAAATCGTGTGCAAAAGTAAGCCGCTTGGCATGGAATGATCCATACATATTTCAATTTTATATAGTATCGAATGATAAGATACGCGAAAGATAAAATGAAGGAAAGATAGAAATACAAAAAATAGTCATACTTCATAATCAGGATTCGCAGTGGCTGCATTTGTCATCGCCTCCAATGTTACAGATGTAGTAACTCGAATTGCATAGCAGCACATGAAGCCTAACGCCATTAAGATGATTTGCACATGTCTACATCCGAATGAAGCTGTAAATCACGAAAGGCATGGTACGTAATTATAATTTCTTAGGATAATGTCCTTAAAAATGCTGTAAGACATTGAATATATACACAGGACCGGTTATGATTTTTTGTGGCCCAGGGCTATTAGATTTTCGGTGGGCCCCTTGGTTGAAAAGCAGGGGAGGGGGCAGGGGGTTTGGAATACAGCACAAAAATATACATAAATCTTACAAAATTGAAATTTATTCAATAAAATTAAATAATATTTTTATCATAACGAAATGGAAGGTTCAGATCGGGGGCCGCCTGGAATCTGGGGCCCGGGTCTACAGTCCCCCTTAGGTCCCCCTTGATCCGGTGATGTACATACAATATATAGATAAAGTATAGCATGCAGAGTGTTTGTAAACTCTAGATTAAGGTTAGTGCAGGTATACAATAATTTGCCAAAGGAAGTAGCTTTCAATTGTAGCCTTCAAAGTGGCTTAATCCCTTAAGTGTGAAAACAAGATAAGAGATGTTAGTTTAACGCTACGAAACTTCTCACGACCAGGAATTGGACAACAATATACAGAGACATAGTAATAAGTTTTGTAGCGACCTTTGCACTAAAGTCGGTGGGCACTATATAGTGTCCTCGTAAAACCATTAAGTTCTAAAAGTACCCCGTTGGGGTAGCCGAAACTACAATTTGAGATGCTAGAGCTTCTTCAGGACCGTGCAATGTCAATTAGGTGTTACATCTAGTAGTTTCAGAACCTCTTTCCGTTGCACATTTTTTCTGATCACCACTCCCGGAAAAACGAACGAAAACCTGCAATTCAGCGACACGTGGAAACCACGCGTGTAGTCGACCTTCCAAAACGTCTAGCGCTTCATCAATAATTTCCAAAAACCGCATAGGCGACTCGATGATTCTCGAAGTATCGCGAACTAGCCCGTTGCTACCCCGAATCTTCGACACTTCCTAATAAAGGTGGGTAGAACCTATAAAACGTTTGCTCGAAACCGGGGAGCAGCTCTCTGCTTTTTGGTTCTTGTCTTGTTCTTCTACGATGAGTACGTTCGTTCGTTCTTCGGCAGTCACGGTTCGTTCCATCAGGCCTGTCCAAGTTGGACAGTCCAACATGTGGCCCGCGAGTCATTTCGCCAGACGACGCGGTCCCCACCATCACTCAGTCCATTCCCCACTACTCGCTTGCGCTGCGATGCGATCGTGGGGCAAGAGGTACGTGCGGGTAGGAATTTCTGGAGCGTCGGAAGTGGGGACAGTCAGAGCATGTACACACGCTTTCTTGTCTCTATAAGTCGATCGTAAGACTAGTGTAAGTTCAAGAAAGAAGACGTCGATCATCCGCCGGAGGATCTTCATTTTATTTTCAGATAGACTCAAGAAAGAAGCCATCCGCCGAGGGAAATCAACATTAAAGCGTTTAAATTTAAGTTACTTTTAAGTTATTTGTAAGACTTTGTACAAAGGGAGGTAGTTGAAACTAATGATTCCATCGATTTAACTACGGTTACATAGATGGGATTGGGTTCAATCTAGCTTTCTTTGGGTGTCTACTCGCAGCAACCTCCTCGTGGTGAGACCCGGGCAATTGGTATTATCTTCGGGAAAGTATTGTAAACCGAAGGTAATACCGAACTAATGTCTGCGAACTTAAAATTAATTTCTCTAGTTATAAGAATGAATGTAAGATCGAATATTTTTGGTGAATGTTCTATCTTACATAAAACTTAAAATGTTTTAAGGCTACATATACGATAGATAATCTTTGTTTATTATAAGGATACGTAAAATAAAACTTTGTGTTTCAATTGCTTTTTTGATACGTATTACTCACTTATGTGTGATAATGCAGAATAGAAGTATGTTATTTGTATTTGAGAACATATAAGCCTTTGTTGTCACTGTTACACTGTTGTATTAACAATGGAAAAATAATGTATTTCAATTAAATTTACATAATAATATTATCGTGTTTATAATAGCAACATTAATCGTTATTACTTTCCTGTATTCGAAAAAAAAAATAAGTCTTGCAGGACTAGAACACAAAACCTCTTTCTACTACGTTTACTTTTCAGCGAACGAACAGAAGAGTTTGCGATCATCGTTCTATCGGTGATTTTCGAAGATATTGAGCACTCAAAGTTACTGGACCATTTTTTATAATGCACGTATGATTAAACAGTATTTTCATTTATTCGTCTTTATTGAAAACAATGTAATCAATAGTGTGAATAAAATTGTACCATACAAAATGATTAATAACTAAATTTGCTTAGTTATCTTATTTATGTATAAAAGTGTAGAAAAGCATGGGTTAGTGATTGCAACAAATAATGTGCTGGACGACAGAGTGGGGTGCGCGCACGTGGGTGAGAAATACGTGTGAGCGAAGGGTGTTCCTATGCTACAATAAAATAGCCTGCAATAAACGAACATTTATCTTTATACATTTAAGAAACTGTGCATTAAAAACAAACACAGTGGATTTCACTTTGGTTCATTATAAACGTTTTATGGAAAATATATATTTTAAAGAAAACATTAATAAAATAAACATCATTCCTTTTTTTTTGTTTTTGATTTTGAACAGCTTGGACAGCATTATTCACGTCTTATTGCGAATAATTTTTTTTACTCACCTTTCCCTTCGGCATCTTGAAAGTCTTATTGTTATAAAAAATTCCCGAAACACAGGCAGTAAAATAGAAAGGTGATTTTTAATGAATATTCAGTACGCCAATCGCTTAGGTTGTGGTTGTGTCCAAATAATATGACATTTATGTATGAATTATGTAAAAAAAACTATGAGCTTAAAAAATTTAATATTGTTATTAATATAATAAACACAAAAATACCTACTGTAATATAACGAAAATAGTTTTGTAAGTCATACACTAACTGTCTGCTCGATGCTCCTCGAGTGACTGGATAAGCGTCCAACGACTACGCAATCAGCATTCTCATGTACCAGTAAATAAACTCGGTAATTTCGAGATCAAAAGAAAAAGGTTTCATTAAAATAAAGTTCGTCTCATTTCTGGAGACTTTCATAAGTTCATGTCGCCTCAAGTTCATGATTGCTAAATAATAATATTTTTTTTAAATAATACATCGCGATTTTGCAAATATTTTTGTATGATTTATGATAAGAAATAATCAAGGATAATTATTTTCTATCCTGAAGTTCGCTATCAATTTTTTAAAATTTAATATTAACAAAAATTCACGATAGTGTCCAATCACCAGGACGTGTCCAATCACTGGGACATTTATCTTACAGTTTAGGTGGGCCAACAACTCCCATAAGATCGTAGACATAGAAATATACACTGCGCATCTCCCTGAAAAGGGCGTCCCAAGTTTAGAAAGAGGTTGTTACGTACGAAGGCACTCACATGACCTTTTAACCTTATCGGGAATTGGAATCCATCCGGCTAGATTACGTTCTTACCGACGGGGTGTTATGGCGTGACCAGATTTTCTTGAAAAACTGATTCCGTTGAAGAACAGGCGTGTCCCCCACTACTTTTACACTCGAATTTCGGGGTATAAAAAGGGACGCGTACAGCTCATCAGCGAGTCATACTCCACTTCATTTCGTACGCTCGCCGTGAACGGACCATAGACATATACAGGGTGTAACAAAAATGTTGTTCGACCCAGAAATAGGACACTCGGAGGTGATTTTGAACAACTTTTTCCTTAGAAAAAATTTAATTTGAGGCTTCGTTAACGAGATATTAACAAAAAACCCCGACCAATCAGCGCGCGAGTCTGCCGGTGGAGCTCTCGCGGTAGCGTTGGCTACGCGCCGCGCTTGTCCTACGAAGCTTCGAACAAACAATAAATTGATTCGAACTCACTCTTTCGGAAATTCACCTGCAGTTTACAAACCTGTGTCACTAGGTCACTGGACCGATTCTGGGCATCGACGGACGAAATGGTTTATGGCAGGGTAGAGTCCATGCCACAGGTGATCGCAGGTATGCGACACCAGCCGACGTTAAGAGTCGCAACATCAAGTGCGTGCGGGTTCTTCCACTGAATATGCATTCACTTTACTTCACGACCACCAACAATGATCACCTGACACGATCAATTAATTTATTTCTCATTTAACCTGTTGTTCCTACGTTACGAACATTGGTGGTCCTGAAAGGGGCCGATTTGTATCAGTTTAGAAGGTGCTCCACGTAGCCAAATGCTTGCAGAGCAGCAGCCGCATATCCGTTAGTCTGTGGGTACCACCAGAAGATTGCGTGATACTACCGTGAACTGAACATCTCTATCGCCCGATTGCGAACCGACTGACAGAATTTTTCCGAAAGAGCTTTTTCTACTCCCAAGTAGTTTCTCATCGTTACATTATGAGTTCACTCCCACCGCGTCAACAAGATTTAGGTAAAAAGAATCCAGCGTTCTAGGAAACCACGTGCTTTGCAGAAGTGGAACGAACGAACCATCGTGCAGTTTCACCGAAACGCGGGCTTCGTTAATTTACTGCCAGGATACCTATTGCTTCGAGATAGAAAACAGACCTCACGTGAATCGTCTTGAAAGGGTCCGAAGAAAGGACTTCAAGTCAGGATCAAGAAAGGACCTTCCCTTTCAAGCGCTTCGGGTAAACTGCACGACGGTTTGTTGGTTGCACTTCTGCAAAGCACGTATTTTCCTGTAACGATGATTTCTATTTACCTAAATCGGGTTGCCGTATTCGGAAGGAACTCACAATGTAACGATGGGAAACTACTTGCGGGTAGAGGAAGCTCCTTCGGAAAAATTCTGTCAGTTGGTTAACAATCAGGTGATAGAGATGTTCAGTTCACGGGAATATTACGCAATGTTTTGGTGATACGCACAAAATAATGGAAATGCTGCTGTGCTAACGTTTGGCCACGTGCAACATCTGCTAAATTGGAATCAATTGGCTCCTCTTGGGGCCACCAATTTTCGTAATGTAGGAACAACACGTTCGTTTAAAAATACATTAAGTGACCGTGTCGGGTGATCAGTGTTAGTAGTCGTGCAGTGAAATGAATAAATACTCGGTGGAATAACTCGGATGCACTTGACGTTACAACTTTTAACTTCCGCTGGTGGCGTGTACGTGCGAACACCTGCGGAATGGGCGCTAACCTTCTATAAACCGTTTCGTCCGTCGATGATCACGATCGGTCCAGTGACCTAGTGACACAGATTTGCAAACTGCAAGTGAATTTCCGAAAAGGTGAGTTCTATTCAATTTATTGATGATATTATTAGACTGCTGATTGTATGCATTTATAACTTATAGGACTATGTGGACAACAATGAAAGACAAAACTTTGATCAAATTCATTGAGTTGTCCATTTTATTCTGAACCCGAAAAAATATTTTACAGAAGAAAGAAATTCCTACATTTGTTCTTGTCTTTGTGCATTACTTTACACAATGTTATATTGCATAAAACCGGCAGTCTAGTGATTATTACTTGTTTAATTTAACGCAAGCTAAGGTTTATTTTAGGCGATAATTCTGCAAGCTACTGTACGTAAATTTTTCTTCGAGCTTTTTAGAGAGACATATTCATTATCAGTAATAGTGTTGCCAGTTATTAATCTACGGATTTGTATCTCAATAATGAACTCCGATCACTTCTCGTTCATTTTCTGTTACATTACCCTTTGGTTAATACGTTATTTGAAAAGGAAATTTACATATTCCTTATCAACACTTGAAATAATTATTATTTTTGATTCTGTTTAAAAACAGGACTATGTACAGTGGACACTAACTATATTGCCACTAAACATATTGCCACGTGAGGCACTTCCCTTTTACACGTACTTTCGCGCACACAAATTCGCTATCCCACCACGTTACGTACGCCGGCGCACCAGCAGAATCCAGCTTTTGCGCAGGCGCCGAGGACGAGACTACAACGGCAAAACTTAGCATGGAGGGGGCTCTGAACACATTGCCATTTTACTCCCCTACAGCTCCGACCATGGCAATATAGTTAGAGTCCACTATATTCGTCTTCTTACGTTACACATAACTTTGCTCTATTTATACTTTATTCATTAATCACTTTAAATGACATACAAAAGATGATAAAGAGTTCGAATTTATTTGTTACGTCTTTTTCATTTGCTATTATGCGCAGTTTCATTCGATGCATGCCTATTTGCTTGTTTGTAGCTTCGTAGCAAAAGCGCAGCGCGTAGGCAATGCTATCGCGGGATCTCGACCGGCAGACTCGCGCTCTGAGTCGGGGTTTTTTGTTCATATCTCGTTAACAAAGCCTTGGGATTCCAAGACCTCCATTCCAAGGACCTTCAATATTTTTATTACACACTGTATATTTAATAAAGACATTAATATATTTTACACGGCCACCTCCTATAGTAAAAAGAAAGAACTGCATGGTATCACAAAAGGAAGAAGACTACATAGTAGTATTAATGTTGAATATGTATAGAAGTTCTACAAGTTTCCTATTTCTCTATAAAATTATTCAGATAAATTCTATAAAGATTACGTTGTTTATTCGTTTAGGCACTTTTACTTAAAGAACGTTTTATTAAAGTATGTGTAACAAAAAAATGATTTTTATCCATTTTTTCACTTAAATCGCACTTTTTTAGAATCCTGAGGGCTTAGAAAAATTCTGCTGTGAAGGTAGTTTTAATTTTAATTTGTATTCTTCTGTGAAGATAGCTTTCGTAAAAATCGATGAAAGTTACCAGCTTTGAGGGTGTGTATTTTTTAAACAATTTTGTAACCAGTGAAATGATTACTTAAACCTCCTCTATTTTCACATGAACTATAATATATTTCAATTTGAGCAAAATCGCAGACATCGTGTATAGAAGTGATCCACTTAGCGTAGAATGACGCATATATTATTATGTAGTGCGGTTATCCTTACTATTATTGTCCTAAGTAGTTTTTAAATTTTCACGGTTCACGAATGAACACAATAATGAAATTGCAAGTGAATTCATTCAGGAGACTTGATCCTTTTAGTATTAAAAATTGCATAATTTGAAAATTTATATTAAGACTGTACAATACGTTCAGAATAATTTAATTTTATTTGATAGGTTCACTTTTAAACAGAAAAAAAAATGTTCATATTACAACTTCAAATAGTTCATTATTACTCGAGTATCAAGCGGTATCACAAAATCACTATTAAAAATTTTGCAAACAGTACGTGGTATGTCACATTGTACTTATACAAACAAACAGCTGTTTCCTATGTTCATTATATTCCATGGTCAAATAATGCAGAGAATGCGGACAAGCAATTCGTTCGTTTCACATCTTTAGGACTTCGCAAGAAATCTGACATTGAAGAAGCGTTCACGTCATGTTTTGGAATTCAAAGCGATTCGTCACGTTCGTATTCTATACGCGTTGCACGAAAATCCATTATCTTATAATGCGTTGCTTGCAATCGTACACCATACTCAGAACTGTCCTTGCGATTTGACAAGTCGAAATTCAAAGATATTTAACATAATCTATTGAAATTCACTTCATCACCGTATGTTAATCTTAAGAAAGTAAGAATTGCACAATTTATAGAAAATATTTGCTCGGAATCGAGATTTCATCTTACAATGTATAACTGAGTGGTGGCAGTTGATAGTTAGCTACATGTAAAGTATTTTCTAGAAACGAATTTTCTTTGTAATGTATTCAAAATGCTCACATGAAAAGATATTTTGCGTTATTCATGACTTCGCAGTTTATAATTGCAGACAGTACAATTAATTTTCTAGTGTAATGCACCTAATGACCTAATTTTTGTGTGTGAAATTTAAAATATCTTACTTAATGTGTGAAAACACTGTCGTTGGCATAAAATTTCCAAAGTGATACATGTAATAATACTACAGAACTCTTTGATAGGTGTACCTACCAAATGTTAAGTTTTAAAACAAGTTCTAAAAAAACCATTTAAAGAATAGAAATTGTGTGGACGAAAATTAAATCAGTATAGATGAATATCTTAATAGGTCTAAAAAATGATTACTCGAGTGGGAAGCACGCTTGTAAATAAAGACAAGCGAGGCTAATCTTTGCAGAAGTTGTAACAAAAAACGCCTTATCTGTTGTTAATGTTACTAAGTTGAAATCAGATTAATTTCTACATCATCTCTTGAAATTACCAACATCTTCGTTGAATGCTTGCATTTTATCGTAATTTATTGATAAGGTTTTAACGAAATATATCGGTTCAATTTACAAATGGGACGCAAACGTTTAGAAAATGATCGTGATATTGAAGATAAAAGAAACCAGGAAAGTTAAAATTATAAAGAAAATAAACCTGGAAATTGCAATTAAAACTTTTTCCTGCAATCATAATAAATCAATCATCGAATGTTTTGTCATGTTTTATAGGAGAAAATCGAAAAGTTGTTTCTATTTCTTGGCCAATGATATTTTTGTTATTATAATCTATTGAAATATTATGAGAGCTATGTAGAAAATTAAGATATAAATCTGATGGTACGTACCTTCAGGTTTTGTGGCCGGTATTTTCATTTTTTCCGAGATCGATATAACCGATACTCTCTTCATGGTGTACGAATGCGTCATTGATTGATAACAAAATTCGTCTGAACACACAATTTCTTTGGTAGAGTCGAGTACTAAGTTAACTTGCGAAAAAGGCACTACGATCCATCAATCGGTTGATCGTGGCTTTATAGTCCATCACCGAAAAGGGATTCTCCCACTCTTCTTTTTTAACTTGTACGCTTTGTGAGTGTAGATACATATGTATATACCACATATACGTATCATTTATATACTACATATATTTATACATACACCTGTACATATAGACATTACCGTACATATAGATATTATATAGTTTATAGCCGCATTATAATAATTTTTCTCAGGTTGAATTGAAAAGTATAATAAATATTGCTATAAACACATTATGTGACATAATAGTAAATTAAATGATATTCAATTGTTTGTCATTCAAGTAAATTAAAAGACAACTGCAGTAGTAATTCGGTAGAAATTTTCAATAACGAAAACTTGAAGGCAAGGTATATATATTGTAGAGAAGTAAAAGTGTATTCTTAGATTATGAAGCAATTTATAATTGCATTGGTCAAGTTTTAGATACGAATCAAAACGATTTCTAGAACGATAAATCTTCGTTGACGGACAAAATCTCGTGACACAATAAGTAATATTTACACCGATAAGATTTCACATGAGAATCACAGTTCATACGAATATCTTAACGTAAGTGTTACGATTAGTGCAAAATGGAGATTTTTATTTAACCTACATTAAAAATGTATATTACTATTATGGATAAATGAACTTGTTATTAGGTGTACATCAAATAATTTATTCATACTTTTCAATATTACTAAAAACCTATCACTTAGATCGTAAATGTCAATACATTACAATACACAAAACATATTGTAATATTTTACTTCCATCTAACCAACAAATTAAAGAACGAAATTTTTAAACCATACACGAGCCTACAAGTTGTTATATGTGTATTTAACCTCTGTTTATAACGATATATAGATACTTTTACATTCATCACATCCCAAGTTAGCCAAATCTGCAAAGCCAAATTTTGTCCAATGTCTATTATAAAATTATGGCTACAAGTTTGATGCAAGAGTTGCGATAAACACCTTGCGCGCAAATTGGTAGCAACATATGCAGCAAATTGGCTTGCGTAAACCTTGTTCCGGTTTTGCCCTCAATTTGACATAGGTCATGTTGCAAGATTTCTGCCAATTTGCTTTACCATTTTGTCAGCTGGCGTTGCCTGCAAAACCCAAATCAAATGCGGAAACAGATGGCTATGGTGTTTTAGACAACTTTTGTCATTTATTGCTAGCAATTTGCTCGAAATTTCTACACAACTGCTAATCAGGGCCGTTTAATATAATTTTTGGAGTTAGTTATTTATAAAGTCTTCATTGTATCCATTAACATATCCCGATTTTAACTTCATTGTCACAGCAGAAAATTTTCTATTTCAATCAAAGCATTTAAAGTTGTACTCAACAGTAATTATCTCTCAGTAGTCTGCTCTTAAGATATCGATCACGCTGTTTAAACCGCAAGTATGCGTATCTTTTCATTTCAACTCATCGTTATTGTCTGTTGGTATTATGAATAATTGGCATCAATGTTAAATCAGATAAAGTTAAAAGGTAAAGAGTCAATGTCTATTATTCAATGTCTCTTACTCCAAACAAAAATAAAACAGAAGAAGCAGAACTTTTCAATTATACTTCGTAGACAGAAAAAGAATTAAATTTTTATGAAATTATGTTTTCATAACACATAAGAAAATTTAATCAAAAAACTCGATGCCTCGAAAAGTATACACACACATCGGTAAAAAATCAGGTCTTCAACAACATATCAAAATTGTTTGTTCTACAAAAAATCTTCTATGCCATTGTTACTTTTGGAAAATAATTTTCATTTTTCAATCCTATTCAACCGTGCGCCTGGCAACGGAAAACACCCTAAAACTCCGTCTGTTTATTCCTCAAGAAATAGGGAGAGCGTAATCTCGACCAACTGGATTGCCACCAAAGACAGAATCACGACACACTCGCGACCGTTTAGGATTTCCTTATTAGAAATTCTAATGAAACCCCCACCATGTTTTGGGACTATATAAACCCTCTGGTTTAAACCCTCCGCGGACCAGAACAGTACAGTTACTGGTAGAATCAAGATGTATTATACCCGATAAAGAATTGGTTGTATCCAGTGAGATTGAGATTAAGTTCCCTTCCGAATCATCAGTTAATCTTATCGAATCCGCGAGTTCGGTTGAAGTTCTATTCCGTAATTATTTTAAACCGCTCTTATCCCTGCATTGCCAGTGCGGTAACACCGAGCATTCACTTGGAAATATTACACTTATACTTTACTGCGACAACATTACACCACACATATTTATACCAAAGACTGGTATAAACAATTTTAACTAACAATTTTATTCCTCAAAATTCATTGGTTTAGTAATTATTATAGTCGTAGTTGACCTTTCCATACGATACAACTTTACCGCTCGAGTTGTATCTAAATTTATACAACGAGTTACGAGGCTTAACTAACATTTCTTGCGGCTTCCTTTCGCATCAGGCTTGTCCTCGTGTTTATTCGTCCTAGCGGCCTCCTGCCTTCGCGTCAGATTTATCCGTGCACCTCACTAACAAACTGATAAACCATATTTCTTGGAAAACCTATACCCGTCGATCTCTCGTGCTGCTCGCGACTCTGACTCGTAACACCATATTAAGGGGGGAGACTCTGTGGGCTGTGAGCTGTGTCCGTGCGCTCACACAAACAACGGGAACCGTGTATGTATACATTCGATTTCGTAAAATCTAACTTCTGCCTCGATAATTGCATCAATGAAGTTTTCACAGGTATAGTACTCACGGGTAGACTTCATAAATAATATAATATTATGAGCTCGCCTTGTTTTTTCATTTATTTCTTCTGTGCATGGTAGATTCCAATTTAGAGACTCTATTGTTTACATCACTCGGTGTATTATTCAAAATTTCAAGATTCGATTGAAATATATTTAACTCTTTTATAAGTTTAGAATATTTCTATAGGAAATGTGCATTAGTTTATAATGAAATACACGATAGAGTATGAACACAGTTTCTTTATTATATGGCAAACTACGGAGCACGACTGTGTGGTTTGGAAGCCAACACGAAAGGAAAGAGCGAAAAGAAAGTCGCACGAAAAAGGACCTCTGTTGGGTCCACTTGAGGAAAACTAAAAATAGATGCGACCGCCGTTTTATTGCTCAGGCCCTTTTCCGAAGGAAGACTGAAGGCCTTCGATCTCTGACCTGAGGACCGTTAACTAAATGACACTGTTTGTATCCTTCGACACTCGGCTTATTTTTGTCACCAGATATTCCAACAATTTCGATTCGAAGAAATCCTTGATTTTCTCAAACAGATCGTTGTTTTCGCCTTCGCGACTTTGTAGAGGACTTTGTGAAGCAGCAGTGGTTGTCTTTTCACCGTACGTAAGGAGTTTTCCATTATCCCATGGATGAGCATATCGTTGTAGATATGAATTCCCCGGATATGAAGAAATGCCACAATTACTGTAAGTAACTGGTTTTAACACCGATGTAGAACATCCTTTACATATGATTCTTTTTGACGACATAGTTTAGTTTCTTTTTAAAGGGGGGACTCCGTGGCCCGTGAGCTGTGTTATGCACTCACACAATCAACGGGAACTGTGTATGTATACGCGATCCACGAGAGAGACATTTGATTTCGTAGGAATCAAAGTGAGCCTCGATAATTGCACAAATGAACTTTTCACGGGTATAGAACTCAGGGGTAGACTTCACTACAGGGTGGTCTGTTCCTTAGAAATGTTAATAAACATCGTACGTTGAAAGAATTAGAATTTTAGAAAGCGTGCGACTGTGACAGACGCCGATGAAGCACACAAGATGGCTGCTCAAGTTACATTTTGTCAAATATCACAAGATTTAGTTGTTTTCTCGTCAAAAGCTGATCAGACCACCCTGTACACCACTGTCACACTATTGTAGAAATCCGATTTTTGTTAATTTATCACTTGTGGAAGGCGTAAGTTGGATTCTACGATTTGACGCGTCCAGACTCAGGAATATACAGTGGTATAGTTCAAAGAATCTCCGCTAGGGACGCTTATGGTATTTGTCAGTCACTTTGGCCATGTTACCATGAGCATCGATAAAACAGAGGGACTCGTTGGCCCGCTTGTAATCGGATGTCGCGCGTCCACCAATCAGGTGTGGGAAAAGGCCCTTCCTGCCGCATCGCTCAGTGACTCCGTGTCGTGTTTGCGCCGGATAGATAAGAATTCCAATTATTAGTTATTATCGCACTTCTCATAAAACAAACGACAGGACCTTGTTTTCCTTATAACATAATCGGCGGTCTCTCATAATTCTTTCAATACATATATTACAAATATAACATTTCCATTAATATTACAAAATAGTGTTGCTACTTTAGTGACGCTGACGTTTAGGGGCATCAACCCCGATGGTCTACACCTTGACATATGTTTGCAAGGACACTATCTCGAATAGAGACAATCTTATTGACCGCCTTCAGTTTGTATATTTACTGTCTATATTCATTGTGAGGTTTTCCTACCATTACTTATGACTCGTGCACGCAAGTGAACTGTGTCCCATAAAACGAGGATCCGCATCACAGGTCCTTCCTACCTTTAGTGGCAATTTTTACGACACAAAGGATAATTAAAAATACGAAACACAATTTGCATGCCTAAAGTGTAATCAAATTTTATATCCTTTACACCAGGCTTGGGAATTAACTGCTTGTTTAAGGCGACATTTGTATCGATAGGTTTCCATATCACCCATGAGGTACTATTGTCAATACGCTTTTTGTCAGTGGTATCCCCTGTAGGCCTATTCCACTGTGTTACGTCCTACTCCATTTGCCCTGTTATTGCTTTCCCAAAATTGTGTTACGTATAGTATATCCAACGGGGCTATTCGATGAGATTCTCCTGATGAAAATAAGTCC